CCTCCTCTGTGCTCACACAGCTCAGGGGGACCCCGACGCACCCAAGAACACCCACCAGTGCCATGACCAGATCTGGAGATGGATGGCGTGGGGATGGCTGCCGCCTCCCTCCCAGCCCTGGCCCAGAGCAGCAGATCTCTGCTCCTCTCCTCATCCCACTGGGGCTGACCTCTCCCAGCCTGGGACGAACAGGAGGGCATTCTCCTCCTCTCCTCTCCGCAGACAGCTGTGACCTCCCCCAGGAAGGGGGATTAACGCTTTCCTCCCGCCGGAGCTGCACTCCCAGAGAAGCCGCACAGTTGGGATGCGGAGCAAGAGTCCAGAGGTCACAGCCATGGGTCACGGCAGGGCGGCAGGGACAAGCGGCCACCCACTTTGTTAGCCCAGGAGATGGATGCACCGTGGGCGATGGCAGCGCTCCTCGCTCCCCTCCCCCCCCCAGCGGCAGGCAGGAGCAGGCAGCAGCAGGCAGCTGCCCATCCCTGCTCTGGCCAAGCCCCAGCTCCACGTGCAACATCCGGAACGCAAGACGGCAGCAGATGGGGAACGTCACAGCTTTCTTGTCCCTGCTGCTACCGCAGGGGCAGCGGCTCGGCCACAGCTGCTCCACTGTTTCCCACTGAGCCGCACGGTTCGTTTCCCTTCCACCCCTCTCATAAACCAAGTCTGGATCAGCCAGTGATGCCCAGACCAGCACACGGGGCTGGAGCATCACACGCAGAGCTCGATGTTGCTCCCGGGGGATCAGACATCTGGAAGAGCTGGGACACCTTGACTGGGAGATAAACAGCATCACAGCCACATTCCCTCGCTCCGGGTAAGCATCGCTGAACCTGTGCAACTCCAGGATTAAGCCAGTGGCCAAGAAGTGCAAAAGGAAACGATGCCCAAAGCTTTTTGGACTGGGACCTGTGCTGCTCCGTGGCAGGCATCAGGAGAGGACGTTGCTGCATTTCTTGGTTGACTTGCAGGGCCGATCGTAGCAGAAGCCCCGTCCCCAGCCTCGCACACCATCACGGATGCCCAGCCTCCCCAGGCACCTGACTCCGCACTGCTCCCTCTGCTGCAGTTTGCTTCCCAAGGCCAAGGGGAGGAAGGCCAGGCTGCCTTTCTCCAAGATCGCACATCTGTGCCAATCCTCCCTGGCTGCTCCCGCAGGAGACACCACCAGCGACACAACACCTCGTTGCCAGGAGGTGTCCGGAATTAATCCGCAGAAGAATCAGGCTAATTACCATGCAAATGGTCAAGCGAGGGATGCCGTCTCAGGCACCTGCCGGGCCAGCAGCAAGGAAACGCCGATCCCGCACCGCAGGTTGCGCCTCGAACCTGTAAAACCACCAAGTATTTACAGCCAAGAGCAAACACACCAGAGCGGCAGAGGTGTCACCTCAACGCACCACAGCAAGAACACCTTGTTCCAGCCGTTGACTCACTAATTACACAGGCAATGCCAGAGAGCCGGGGCTGGCTTGACCCAGCGTGCCACGGGGTACCCGCGAGCACCCGGCTGTTGGAGATGTCCTCCCCAGGCAAGCCCTGCCCTGCCGTGGCTTCGACCTTCACTCGGTTGAATCATTCATTCATCCGCTGCCTTGCTCCTCCGAGCTTCCTCCTCCCTCCGCTTCCCACCGGCACTGCAGAGCCCTCCGAGCTGAACGGGGGACCCAGCTCTCACCTCCCCTTCTCAAAGCACGTCCCCAGCATGAGACCCAACTTTCTAGGAAACACACAAACCCTCTGCTCCACGGTGGGTGTCTCCAAGCCCAGCCCAGCCATTGCCACCAGGAGGGGAGTTCTCATGCTTGGGAGCACCACCAAGTTCATGCCCATGGGTTTCCCTCCCTTCTGCATCCACGTGGAGCCGGCAGCACCCTCCCAGAACACAACCGCCCCGGCTCGAGCACTTCCTCCTCACCCCACATCTGCTGCCACCATCTCACAGCAAAGCACCCGCTGGCCCCAGCTACCTTCATCATCCTCTAGTCCCACTGGCAGGAGGAAGAAGATGGGAATCACTTGCGTGCCAAGAAATCCTAAAGATGGGCTGGGAGTGCAGCACATCCCCCGCAGAGCTGCCTTGCCCATGGAGGACCTCTGTGCCAGGCGGTCCGAAGAGGAGCAGGACAACGGCCTCGCTTGCCCCCAGCAGGTCCTAGGACAGAGCTCTGGATGAAGCAGTGGTGCTCAGCCCCAGATAGCCGGCTCCGCTGCAGCCTCTAGAGATGCCACAAGAAGCTTTCTAAGAACAAGCGTGGCTCTGGAGGGGAGGAGAGGACAGCCGAGGTGCTCCCAAACCAGCAGCCCGGCTCTGCACCAGCCCCACCACGTGTCCCATTCGATCTCCCACCTTCCAGGGGAAGCGGCTCCTGGCATCGCGCTGCAACCAGCGGTCAGCACTCGAGCCCTTGCACAGAGGAATTGCTTGCAGGGGCCAATGCAGCTCCCTAAAGCCACCTCGCTCCGGGACAGGGGCAACAGCAGGTAGAGCCCAGCCAGTTCTGCTTGGACACAGGCGAGGAGGGACGAGCAGGCAAGCCAGTGCCCGGGTGGGACCCCGCTTGCAGCACCGCACCGGTGGGCGAGGAGGGGTGAATGGTCAAGCTGATGGCCGGGCCACCGCTCTGCCCATGGCACAGCACCCAGGCAGGACCCTACTCACAGCACCACACCAGTGGATGAAGAGTGGCGAGTGGTCAAGCTGGTGGCTGTGCCACTGCTCTGCCCATGGCACAGCACCCTGGTAGGACCCCACTCACAGCAGCACATCAGTAGGCAAGAAAGGGTGAGCGGTCAAGCTGGTGGCCATACCACCACTCTGCCCATGGCATGGCACCCAGGCAGGACGCTGCCCCTACTCACAGCACCACACCAGTGGATGAAGAGTGGCGAGTGGTCAAGCTGGTGGCTGTGCCACTGCTCTGCCCATGGCACAGCACCCTGGTAGGACCCCACTCACAGCAGCACATCAGTAGGCAAGAAAGGGTGAGCGGTCAAGCTGGTGGCCATACCACCACTCTGCCCATGGCATGGCACCCAGGCAGGACGCTGCTCACAGCACCGCACCGGTGGGCGAGGAGCAGTGAGTGGT